TACCTCGCCCCTCACTAGTATACCTGGCCCCTCACTAGTATACCTCGCCCCTCACTAGTATACCTGGCCCCTCACTAGTATACCTCGCCCTTCACTAGTATACCTCGCCCCTCACTAGTATACCTGGCCCCTCACTAGTATACCTGGCCCCTCACTAGTATACCTGGCCCCTCACTAGTATACCTCGCCCCTCACTAGTATACCTCGCCCCTCACTAGTATACCTGGCCCCTCACTAGTATACCTGGCCCCTCACTAGTATACCTGGCCCCTCACTAGTATACCTGGCCCTTCACTAGTATACCCCCTTCACTAGGCCCCTCATAGTATACCTGGCCCCTCACTAGTATACCCTCGCCCCCTCACTAGTATACCTGGCCCTCACTAGCCCCCTCACTAGTATACCTGGCCCCTCACTAGTATACCTGGCCCCTCACTAGTATACCTGGCCCCTCACTAGTATACCTGGCCCCTCACTAGTATACCTCGCCCCTCACTAGTATACCTGGCCCCTCACTAGTATACCTCGCCCCTCACTAGTATACCTCGCCCCTCACTAGTATACCTCGCCCCTCACTAGTATACCTGGCCCCTCACTAGTATACCTCGCCCCTCACTAGTATACCTGGCCCCTCACTAGTATACCTCGCCCCTCACTAGTATACCTCGCCCCTCACTAGTATACCTCGCCCCTCACTAGTATACCTCGCCCCTCACTAGTATACCTGGCCCCTCACTAGTATACCTCGCCCCTCACTAGTATACCTGGCCCCTCACTAGTATACCTGGCCCCTCACTAGTATACCTGGCCCTTCACTAGTATACCTGGCCCTTCACTAGTATACCTGGCCCTTAGTATACCTGGCCCCTCACTAGTATACCTCACCCTCACTAGTATACCTGGCCCCTCACTAGTATACCTCGCCCCTCACTAGTATACCTGGCCCTTCACTAGTATACCTGGCCCTTCACTAGTATACCTGGCCCTTCACTAGTATACCTGGCCCTTCACTAGTATACCTGGCCCTTCACTAGTATACCTGGCCCCTCACTAGTATACCTGGCCCCTCACTAGTATACCTGGCCCCTCACTAGTATACCTCGCCCCTCACTAGTATACCTGGCCCCTCACTAGTATACCTGGCCCTCACTAGTATACCTGGACCTCACTAGTATACCTGGCCCCTCACTAGTATACCTGGCCCCTCACTAGTATACCTGGCCCCTCACTAGTATACCTGGCCCCTCACTAGTATACCTGGCCCATCACTAGTATACCTGGCCCCTCACTAGTATACCTGGCCCCTCACTAGTATACCTGGCCCCTCACTAGAATACCTGGCCCCTCACTAGTATACCTGGCCCCTTCACTAGTATACCTGGCCCCTCACTAGTATACCTGGCCCCTCACTAGTATACCTGGCCCCTCACTAGTATACCTGGCCCATCACTAGTATACCTGGCCCCTCACTAGTATACCTGGCCCCTCACTAGTATACCTGGCCCTTCACTAGTATACCTGGCCCCTCACTAGTATACCTGGCCCCTCACTAGTATACCTCGCCCCTCACTAGTATACCTGGCCCCTCACTAGTATACCTGGCCCCTCACTAGTATACCTGGCCCTTCACTAGTATACCTCGCCCTTCACTAGTATACCTCGCCCCTCACTAGTATACCTGGCCCCTCACTAGTATACCTGGCCCTTCACTAGTATACCTCGCCCTTCACTAGTATACCTCGCCCCTCACTAGTATACCTCGCCCCTCACTAGTATACCTGGCCCTTCACTAGTATACCTCGCCCCTCACTAGTATACCTGGCCCTTCACTAGTATACCTGGCCCTTCACTAGTATACCTCGCCCCTCACTAGTATACCTGGCCCCTCACTAGTATACCTCGCCCCTCACTAGTATACCTCGCCCCTCACTAGTATACCTGGCCCCTCACTAGTATACCTGGCCCTTCACTAGTATACCTCGCCCTTCACTAGTATACCTCGCCCCTCACTAGTATACCTCGCCCCTCACTAGTATACCTCGCCCCTCACTAGTATACCTGGCCCTTCACTAGTATACCTGGCCCCTCAGTAGTATACCTGGACCCTCACTAGTATACCTGGCCCCTCAGTATACCTGGCCCCTCACTAGTATACCTGGCCCCTCACTAGTATACCTGGCCCTTCACTAGTATACCTGGCCCCTCACTAGTATACCTGGCCCCTCACTAGAATACCCGGACCTGCACTAGTATACCCGGCCCTTCACTAGTATACCCCAACATATTCTGGTATATGCAAACCTGCATTTCGTGCCTTTGGTTCCATACCTGCATATTCTCCTAGCTTAATATTATCACGTATTTTCATTTGTGTCCTTGGCAGGTGTGTGATACTGGAGCCATCAGTGTCCTTGGCAGGTGTGTGATACTGGAGCCATTAGTGTCCTTGGCAGGTGTGTGATACTGGAGCCATCAGTGTCCTTGGCAGGTGTGTGATACTGGAGCCATCAGTGTCCTTGGCAGGTGTGTGATACTGGAGTTATCAGTGTCCTTGGCAGGTGTGTGATACTGGAGCCATCAGTGTCCTTGGCAGGTGTGTGATACTGGAGTTATCAGTGTCCTTGGTAGGTGTGTGATACTGGAGCCATCAGTGTCCTTGGCAGGTGTGTGATACTGGAGCCATCAGTGTCCTTGGCAGGTGTGTGATACTGGAGCCATCAGTGTCCTTGGCAGGTGTGTGATACTGGAGTTATCAGTGTCCTTGGCAGGTGTGTGATACTGGAGCCATCAGTGTCCTTGGCAGGTGTGTGATACTGGAGTTATCAGTGTCCTTGGCAGGTGTGTGATACTGAAGCCATCAGTGTCCTTGGCAGGTGTGTGATACTGGAGCCATCAGTGTCCTTGGCAGGTGTGTGATACTGGAGCCATCAGTGTCCTTGGCAGGTGTGTGATACTGGAGCTATCAGTGTCCTTGGCAGGTGTGTGATACTGGAGCCATCAGTGTCCTTGGCAGGTGTGTGATACTGGAGCCATCAGTGTCCTTGGCAGGTGTGTGATACTGGAGCCATCAGTGTCATTGGCAGGTGTGTGATACTGGAGCCAGCAGTGTCCTTGGCAGGTGTGTGATACTGGAGTTATCAGTGTCCTTGGCAGGTGTGTGATACTGAAGCCATCAGTGTCCTTGGCAGGTGTGTGATACTGGAGTTATCAGTGTCCTTGGCAGGTGTGTGATACTGGAGTTATCAGTGTCCTTGGCAGGTGTGTGATACTGGGGCCGTCAGTGTCCTTGGCAGGTGTGTGATACTGGGGCCGTCAGTGTCCTTGGCAGGTGTGTGATACTGGAGCCATCAGTGTCCTTGGCAGGTGTGTGATACTGGGGCCGTCAGTGTCCTTGGCAGGTGTGTGATACTGGGGCCGTCAGTGTCCTTGGCAGGTGTGTGATACTGGGGCCTTCAGTGTCCTTGGCAGGTGTGTGATACTGGGGCCGTCAGCCACAGTCCCCAACGTCAAGACTTCTCGCACACCTGCGAGAGAGCCACCTGTGGCCACACCTGTGAGAGAGCCACCTGTGGCCACACCTGCGAGAGAGCCACCTGTGGCCACACCTGTGAGAGAGCCACCTGTGGCCACACCTGCGAGAGAGCCACCTGTGGCCACACCTGTGAGAGAGCCACCTGTGGCCACACCTGTGAGAGAGCCACCTGTGGCCACACCTGCGAGAGAGCCACCTGTGGCCACACCTCTGAGAGAGAGCCACCTGTGGCCACACCTGTGAGAGAGCCACCTGTGGCCACACCTGCGAGAGAGCCACCTGTGGCCACACCTCTGAGAGAGAGCCACCTGTGGCCACACCTGTGAGAGAGCCACCTGTGGCCACACCTGTGAGAGAGCCACCTGTGGCCACACCTGTGAGAGAGCCACCTGTGGCCACACCTGTGAGAGAGCCACCCACACCTGTGAGAGAGCCACCTGTGGCCACACCTGTGAGAGAGCCACCTGTGGCCACACCTGTGAGAGAGCCACCTGTGGCCACACCTGCGAGAGAGCCACCTGTGGCCACACCTGCGAGAGAGCCACCTGTGGCCACACCTGCGAGAGAGCCACCTGTGGCCACACCTCTGAGAGAGAGCCACCTGTGGCCACACCTGTGAGAGAGCCACCTGTGGCCACCTTTGAGAGAGCCACCTGTGGCCACACCTGTGAGAGAGCCACCTGTGGCCACACCTGTGAGAGAGCCACCTGTGCCCACACCTGCGAGAGAGCCACCTGTGCCCAGACCTGACAGAGGGGGGGGGGTGCCATATGGCACCAGTGCCAGCAGTGTTGCAACACAGCGCCTCCCAAACAAGCTGTCGAGGAGGTAATTGAGGGGGTGTGGGAGGGGTGTGGGAGGGGTGTGGGGGTGTGGGGGGGGGAAGCAACAATTGCGATTAGCGGGTATCGAACCCCCCCGTGCTCCTCCCCGTACATGTCAGTGGCGGGACCGAAGCCGGCTGTAATATGACTGGTGAATGACTGACACCTTTACTAGTAATGTGATATTGACACAGGCAGGGCCGGAGGCTGCCACACATTACACCACACTCCAGCATTATGATAATTAGTCAGTGTGGCGGCGGCAGGATTGAAACATGTATATACACGCTGATCACCACACCTGCGGCTGGTAATCCCATGATTCAATCTACGCGGGTTTGGGGACTTTTCTGGGGCGGGGTTATTGGGTGAGGTGTACTGTTTACCTACATGGGCTCGGACCCTCCACCAGAGTTCTGTGTTGAGTTGCACGTACGAGATGGAGAAGGATGGGAAGCTGCCCTTTCTGGATGTAACAGTCACGGAAAGGAGCGGAGGCTTCCACACTGCAGTCTACACTATGGAAACATTAATAGGAATGTGCCTAAATGTCAATAGTGACTGCCCAGACAGGTACAAGAGGAGTGTTGTCAACGCTTACGTCGACCGTGCTCTCATTCACAGCTTAGGCTGGAAGCAAGACGATGAAGAACTCTGTTGGGTAAGGCAGGTCCTAGTCAACAAAGGCTTTTCTAATGGTTTTGTTGAAGATGTCATAAAAAGAAAGGTGAAACGCCATGCAGCCTCTGAAGAGCCAACTAACACAACACCTGTACCCTCTGTTACACTGTTTTACAGGAACTACTTTTCGACAGCTCATAAAACGGAGGAAAGTGTCCTGAAAGATATTGTTGATAGGAACGTTATCCCTACAGACAAAAATCAGAAAATACAATTGACAATTTACTACAAAAACAAAAAAACGGTCAATCTACTCAGAAAAACTCCCCAGACACCGAGCAGAACGCCTTGAAGGAAACCAACGTCGTCTATGCCTACATATAGCCACTTCGGGACTGAAAGCCCCAAAGAACTCAGTATATAGGCAAGACAACAATGTCTCTTTCTGGGCGATTAACAATGCACAAACAACAGGGCTCCATTAAGGAACATATAATCTCTTCCCACAACCAGACCATCACCAGAGAAATCTTAACAAACAACACAGAAATCATCGATAAATACAGCGATAGCAGGAGACTCGACATCAGCGAGGCATTGCACATCAAAAAGTCAACACCAGCAATCAACGGCCAATTAATCCACGACTATATTCTACTCACTTTAAGACCCCGAACCAACATAGAAGCAGCAAGAGGAGGTATGGGCCAATAGGCCTTCTGCAGTTAACCTGGTTGATGGGGATCTGGGAGTTCTTCTACTCCCCAAGCTCGGCCCGAGGCCAGGCTCGACTTGTGAGAGTTTGGTCCACCAGGCTGTTGCTTGGAGCGGCCCGCAGGCCCACATACCCACCACAGCCCGGTTGGTCCGGCACTCCTTGGAGGAAAGAGTCTAGTTTTCTCTTGAAGATGTCCACGGTTGTTCCGGCAATATTTCTTATGCTCGCTGGGAGGACGTTGAACAACCGTGGACCTCTGATGTTTATACAGTGTTCTCTGATTGTGCCTATGGCACCTCTGCTTTTCACTGGTTCTATTCTGCATTTCTTCCGTATCGTTAACTTCAGTACGTTGTTATTTTACTGTGTAGATTTGGTACTTGGCCGTCCAGTATTTTCCATGTGTATATTATTTGATATCTCTCTCGTCTCCTTTTTAGTGAGTACATTTGGAGAGCTTTGAGACGATCCCAATAATTTAGGTGTTTTATCTCGTCTATGCGTGCCGTATATGTTCTCTGTATTCCCTCTATTTCAGCAATCTCTTCTGCTCTGAAGGGGGAAGTGAGTACTGAGCAGTACTCAAGACGGGACAACACAAGTGACTTGAAGAGTACAACAATTGTGATGGGATCTCTGGACTTGAAGGTTCTCGTAATCCATCCGATCATTTTTCTGGCTGACGCAATATTTGCTTGGTTATGCTCCCTAAACGTTAGGTCGTCAGACATCATTATTCCCAAATCCTTGACATGCTGTTTTCCTACTATGGGCAGATTCGATTGTGTTTTGTACCCTGTATTATGTTTAAGATCCTCATTTTTACCGTACCTGAGTACCTGGAATTTATTACTGTTAAACATCATGTTATTTTCTGCTGCCCAATCGAAAACTTTGTTGATACAATGTCTTCAGCAGAGATAATTTTCATGCTGATTTTTGTGTCATCTTTGTTAGTTCCATTCTTATATTTTCATACCCAATTTATGCACCCACCACTGCACCCTACACCCACCACTACACCCTACACCCACCACTACACCCTACACCCACCACTACACCCTACACCCAGCACTACACCTTACACCCACGACTACACCCTACACCCAGCACTACACCTTACACCCACGACTACACCCTACACCCACCACTACACATTACACACACCACCACTCCCTACACCCACCACTACACCTTACACCCACCCTACACCCTACACCCACGACTACACCCTACACCCACACACACTAGAGACATATACACCAATGTGTGGTGGAGGCGGCCCAGAAGAAGGGGCCACAATCCCCCGCCCGTAAGACAAAAGACTCAAGGATTGGCTGATTCAGTTTTGTTGTTCAGGATATGCAGAGTTGGCGGAGTGCAGGCCCGCGGTGAGGCGCGCCGCCCACACCCGCCGCCCACACCCGCCGCCCACACCCGCCGCCCACACTCACCGCCCACACTCACCGCCCACACCCGCCGCCCACACCCGCCGCCCACACCCGCCGCCCACACTCACCGCCCACACTCACCGCCCACACCCGCCGCCCACACCCGCCGCCCACACCCGCCGCCCACACACTCACCGCCCACACTCACCGCCCACACTCACCGCCCACACCCGCCGCCCACACCCGCCGCCCACACCCGCCGCCCACACTCACCGCCCACACCCACCGCCCACACCCACCGCCCACACCCGCCGCCCACACTCGCCGCCCACACCCGCCGCCCACACCCGCCGCCCACACCCGCCGCCCACACCCGCCGCCCACACTCACCGCCCACACCCGCCGCCCACACCCGCCGCCCACACCCGCCGCCCACACTCACCGCCCACACTCACCGCCCACACCCGCCGCCCACACCCGCCGCCCACACCCGCCGCCCACACCCGCCGCCCACACCCGCCGCCCACACCCGCCGCCCACACCCGCCGCCCACACCCGCCGCCCACACCCGCCGCCCACACCCGCCGCCCACACCCGCCGCCCACACCCGCCGCCCACAACAATAGGGGTGCTGGTGATACAACATGGCAAGAGGAAAGAATTGTTTTTATTTTTTTATAATTTTTGTCCTACCACAGACGTGGCCAAACATTTACAATGCTAACCAGCACATATTCATTACCATCTGTCCACCATGGACAGGGCGAGAGATCTCTTAAACACATAGTTCAGGGGTTTATTGAGTCATCAGAGTACTAATGGTGTACTCGACACTCACACAGTTGACACACGGTGTACTCGACACTCACACAGTTGACACAAGGTGTACTCGACACTCACACAGTTGACACACAGTGTACTCGACACCTTCACACAGTTGACACAAGGTGTACTTGACACCTTCACACAGTTGACACAAGGTGTACTCGACACCTTCACACAGTTGACACAAGGTGTACTCGACACCTTCACACAGTTGACACAAGGTGTACTCGACACTCACACAGTTGACACAAGGTGTACTCGACACTCACACAGTTGACACAAGGTGTACTCGACACTCACACAGTTGACACAAGGTGTACTCGACACTCACACAGTTGACACAAGGTGTACTCGACACTCACACAGTTGACACAAGGTGTACTCGACACTCACACAGTTGACACAAGGTGTACTCGACACTCACACAGTTGACACAAGGTGTACTCGACACTCACACAGTTGACACAAGGTGTACTCGACACTCACACAGTTGACACATGGTGTACTCGACACTCACACAGTTGACACATGGTGTACTCGACACCTTCACATAGTTGACACAAGGTTGACACTCACACAGTTGACACATGGTGTACTCGACACTCACACAGTTGACACATGGTGTACTCGACACTCACACAGTTGACACAAGGTGTACTCGACACCTTCACACAGTTGACACACACAGGTGTACTCGACACTCACACAGTTGACACATGGTGTACTCGACACCTTCACACAGTTGACACAAGGTGTACTCGACACTCACACAGTTGACACAAGGTGTACTCGACACTCACACAGTTGACACAAGGTGTACTCGACACCTTCACACAGTTGACACAAGGTGTACTCGACACTCACACAGTTGACACAAGGTGTACTCGACACTCACACAGTTGACACAAGGTGTACTCGACACTGGTGTACTCGACACCTTCACACAGTTGACACAAGGTGTACTCGACACTCACACAGTTGACACAAGGTGTACTCGACACTCACACAGTTGACACAATGTGTACTCGACACCTTCACACAGTTGACACAAGGTGTACTCGACACCTTCACACAGTTGACACAAGGTGTACTCGACACTTCACACAGTTGACACAAGGTGTACTCGACACCTTCACACAGGTGTACTCGACACCTTCACACAGTTGACACAAGGTGTACTCGACACTCACACAGTTGACACAAGGTGTACTCGACACTCACACAGTTGACACAAGGTGTACTCGACACTCACACAGGACACAAGGTGTACTCGACACTCACACAGTTGACACAAGGTGTACTCGACACCACACAGTTGACACAGTTGACACACACAGGTGTACTCGACACCTTCACACAGTTGACACAAGGTGTACTCGACACTCACACAGTTGACACACAGGTGTACTCGACACTCACACAGTTGACACAAGGTGTACTCGACACTTCACACAGTTGACACAAGGTGTACTCGACACTCACACAGTTGACACAAGGTGTACTCGACACTCACACAGTTGACACAAGGTGTACTCGACACCGTCACACAGTTGACACAAGGTGTACTCGACACCTTCACACAGTTGACACACAGGTGTACTCGACACCTTCACAGGTGTACTCGACACCTTCACACAGTTGACACAAGGTGTACTCGACACTCACACAGTTGACACAAGGTGTACTCGACACTCACACAGTTGACACAAGGTGTACTCGACACTCACACAGTTGACACAAGGTGTACTCGACACTCACACAGTTGACACAAGGTGTACTCGACACTCACACAGTTGACACATGGTGTACTCGACACTCACACAGTTGACACAAGGTGTACTCGACACTCACACAGTTGACACATGGTGTACTCGACACCTTCACACAGTTGACACAAGGTGTACTCGACACTCACACAGTTGACACAAGGTGTACTCGACACTCACACAGTTGACACAAGGTGTACTCGACACCTTCACACAGTTGACACAAGGTGTACTCGACACCTTGACACACAGTGTACTCGACACCTTCACACAGTTGACACAAGGTGTACTCGACACTCACACAGTTGACACAAGGTGTACTCGACACTCACACAGTTGACACAATGTGTACTCGACACCTTCACACAGTTGACACAAGGTGTACTCGACACCTTCACACAGTTGACACAAGGTGTACTCGACACTCACACAGTTGACACAAGGTGTACTCGACACCTTCACACAGTTGACACAAGGTGTACTCGACACTCACACAGTTGACACATGGTGTACTCGACACCTTCACACAGTTGACACAAGGTGTACTCGACACCTTCACACAGTTGACACAAGGTGTACTCGACACCTTCACACAGTTGACACAAGGTGTACTCGACACCTTCACACAGTTGACACAAGGTGTACTCGACACTCACACAGTTGACACAAGGTGTACTCGACACTCACACAGTTGACACAAGGTGTACTCGACACCTTCACACAGTTGACACAAGGTGTACTCGACACTTCACACAGTTGACACAAGGTGTACTCGACACTCACACAGGTGACACAAGGTGTACTCGACACTCACAAAGGTGACACAAGGTGTACTCGACACTCACAAAGGTGACACAAGGTGTACTCGACACTCACAAAGGTGACACAAGGTGTACTCGACACTCACAAAGGTGACACAAGGTGTACTCGACACCTTCACAAAGGTGACACAAGGTGTACTCGACACTCACACAGTTGACACAAGGTGTACTCGACACTCACACAGTTGACACAAGGTGTACTCGACACTCACACAGTTGACACAAGGTGTACTCGACACCTTCACACAGTTGACACAAGGTGTACTCGACACCTTCACACAGTTGACACAAGGTGTACTCGACACTCACACAGTTGACACAAGGTGTACTCGACACCTTCACACAGGTGACACATGGTGTACTCGACACTCACACAGTTGACACATGGTGTACTCGACACTCACACAGTTGACACACAGTGTACTCGACACCTTCACACAGTTGACACATGGTGTACTCGACACCTTCACACAGTTGACACAAGGTGTACTCGACACCTTCACACAGTTGACACAAGGTGTACTCGACACTCACACAGTTGACACATGGTGTACTCGACACTCACACAGTTGACACAAGGTGTACTCGACACTCACACAGTTGACACAAGGTGTACTCGACACTCACACAGTTGACACAAGGTGTACTCGACACTCACACAGTTGACACATGGTGTACTCGACACTCACACAGTTGACACAAGGTGTACTCGACACTCACAAAGGTGACACAAGGTGTACTCGACACTCACAAAGGTGACACAAGGTGTACTCGACACTCACAAAGGTGACACAAGGTGTACTCGACACCTTCACAAAGGTGACACAAGGTGTACTCGACACTCACAAAGGTGACACAAGGTGTACTCGACACTCACAAAGGTGACACAAGGTGTACTCGACACCTTCACAAAGGTGACACAAGGTGTACTGGACATTAGGGTTTTGATAAAGCCCCCTTGAGACAGGATAGTGACCATAGGGGGGAGGAGGAGGGGGAGGCCCCGGACACCAACCCAAGGAGAAGGAAGCAGATGGGACAAGAAGGAGCAGACAAGCCAAGAAGTAGAAGAGAGGGAAGGGATGGGAGGGATAAACATCAAGAGGGGGGTGTGATGGGGTGGGCTAGGGGGGAGGATAGAGAGAGAGAAGGGGGGGGGGGAGCGGCGGGGTGTCGAACCATCTGTGGTGTTCTCAGAGCGCGGGCGGGGCGGGGCGGGGCGCTGTCAACAAAAGTCAACACTTTCTTTTTTTTTTCCTTCGGGAAATGAGGCTTGGTATAGCATTATATTGTATCAGTATTATTATACACGAGGTTGTTCAGCAGGCGGTGAACGTGCCAGGGGGGGGGAGTGCCAGCCGCCCAGTGCCACAACTGGTGCCAATATACCATGTTGTTTAGCGGTTTAGGATAAAATCAGGAGGTAGGAGGCGGGCGCCAGGCAGCGCCCACAGCAACATTTGGCGCCATAAACATTCCTACACACACACACACTTGCGTCACCTGCACCACCAGGAGGAGGGGGGGCGCCACCAGCAGCCCAGGTGGAGTAGCAGCAGCAGCAGCAGCCCAGGTGGAGCAGCAGCAGCAGCAGCCCAGGTGGAGTAGCAGCAGCAGCAGCAGCCCAGGTGGAGTAGCAGCAGCAGCAGCAGACCAGGTGCAGCAGTAACAAAGACCCCCAGGGTAAGGCTGAGGAACTAATTCACAAGTGGAGTGATGCAGCATCCTCCTCCTCCCTCCCTGCAGAAGTCAGCAGGGAACAGCTCCTGCGACATGATGACAGAAGAATTAGGATAACAAGAGCACTGTCTAGTGATGACGAGTATGGGGAACCAATCACAGCCCAGGAAGTAAGGGGCGCTATGATAAAGGGTAAAAGTACAGCACCTGGTGAAGATGGCGTCACCTACGACATACTCAATGCACTGTGTGAAGTGTCTGGGAATCCACTACTCCACCTGTTTAACAAGTCATTCCTAAGTGGAGTGTTGCCCACACAAAGGAGACAAGAAATAATTGTTCCCATACCGAAGCCCAATGACCCTGGTAATTACAGACCTATCAGCCTCGTGTCATGCACTTGCAGGATGCTTGAAAGGATCATCCTAAACCGACTGTTGCACAAAATAGGCAGGTTAGGGGAGGGGGTCAATGGATTTGTTAAAGGACGGAGCACAGCAAATTGTATAGTTAATTACTTGGCTAATGACACGG